CAACAGTGTATACCAAGTTTTATAAAGATTGCATCAATATTCTTCGAGTTGTTAATTATTTTAGAAAATTTACAAAATGGCGGATTACCGCCTAACCAAGCTGAAATCGAAAATACATTACTGTACAATTTGTACACATTTTCGTATGTTCAATCGGGCCCTACTAGTCTGTTACGTATTTTTGTGACACACTGTATATGTCAAGTATAACGTATTTAAGACATTTTAAGAACACTTTCGGAATTTTGCTTTCATGGTAATTTAATACTTCTCATTTTAAAAGGGGTTAACGAGTAGAATAATTTGTTGGCCATTCTAACCTCCTAAAGTTAATTGGTCCTAATGTCATTGTTACATAACGCAATAGGGTACATTTGTAGTTATTATGGTAGCAAACTACAGATACTGCGGTTGTTTACCAGTACATTTCAGTACTCTGTTTACCTCGTACGTTATTAATGTGAATAATACCATAATAGTTATTCACAATACTTACTACTACGTTTATGATGACAGGTAGTAACAATCAACGAATTGTTAATATTATACGTTAAAGTAATTACTTATTAGTAATTAGTGTATTTTACTTTGGCAAAGTGTGGCAGCAGGTGGTTAAATTCTACATCCCTGACGAAATTAATATAAATGGTACTTATTACGAATTATTTTAATAATATTTAACACAACTGTAAATGAACTGAAAAGTTTTTAACGTATGAAATATGAAATCTTTACATGCTGGGATAAATGGTAACCGGTATGGCTGTGGGTGAAATAGAATACTGTAATTCCAAACACACCAAATGTGCACCAGCATTTTAGGGGCGACAATACATCAACTACGCTAGACTGTACAATATGTGTCTGCCCATGTATAAACAAATGTGGTCGCATTGAGAAATTAGATTGGATTTAGTTTCATAATTTATTCACTAAGCAGATTGTTGTTTTCCAAATGTATTTCACGTACTGTAAAATATGTATGCATTTTTTTATCGACCGTTTTTATTTCCGAAAAATTTACAGCAACAACAATATATACCACATTTTTCAATAGTGAAGCATTAAGTAAATACATAAAAATCAGAGGTACATGTTTTATACCTTTAGGACTTATGGATAATATTTGGTAGAAATATACAGGTTTTACAAATCATAACTAAATAAAGTTAAACTAAATAACACTAATCATAACTGTAAGCATTGATGTATTTTAAGAAATCATTTTCATAAATTGCAAGTGATACTTAACGAGAACGTACACAAATAAACTATTTTCTGTATAAGCTTTTAAATGTAATACTAGTGTCCCTGTTGCTCGAATTCGAGCAATTGCTAAGTATCACAGGCGTTATATTAAACAAATAACAGTCATAATTTCTGATGACTTTAAAAGATTAGACTCAAAGATTGTGGAAATACTAAAGATGTATAGGTCTATAACAGATCGATATAATCAACGTTTCTTGTAAATATCTTATCATTTTTCAAAAGCTGATCTTGTTTTTATTGTTTTCTTCAAATAGCCTTACTCATAGCCGCATTAGGTTGTACATAATAACGATTATAAATTCTAAAAAAAACATTATTTCTATTTCTTATCCTTGGTGGTGTTCTATGACTTTCCTATGTTTCCAAAGTTTGCAAATCGGTTCTTTCATTGATTACTAATAAATGCAGCACAGTGTTAATTCAGTTTTCTTTTTATATCAATATTAATAGTACTTTAGTAGTAGTAGTCGGAGAAATATAGGATATGACCTTAAAAAAATTGCAAGAAAACGTTTTATGGTTTTATTTTGTAGAGTTGGGTTTGCAGAATGACATACTAAAAGTTGCTAAAAATCAGTGCACGATAAAACCACTAAAATCAGAATTTAAAATGGCGGCTTTTTCCAACATTGGACAAATTAAAAAACATATTTCACATGCATTTGTTATGCACATTTTTCGAGATATTGACTTGGGACCACCGCCTGTATTTATTGGGTGGTTAGTACTTCATTTTGATAGGGAACATGTTTTTGGCCGCCATCATGGATCCGCCATATTGGACATAGATAGTTTTTTCAATGTAACGATAGTGTTGTGACACATCATTACCAACTACATTTTTACACTATTTTTTAAACTATTTTTCTTATATCTCCAGTTCTTATTGACGTTTGTAGTTCGTTCTAGGCTTAAAATATTCAGTAATGTAAGGGCTTTCATTTGAGCTCTTGATCATTAAAATCAGACGAGTTGAAGACCAGCGACGAACCTCAGAACAATATTAAATTTAACTTTTTAGAAATATATTTTTATTAAAAGATTTATAACTCGGGTTGTTAATACGTCACAAAGTTATTTCTGGTCTCAAATTACTCAGTAAATGTTTGGCTTTAATTTTATTGATCATTAAACAAAATCTGACAATTTTAAAATGAGTTATGGACCATAATTTAACATTAAAATGTATTTATATTGAAATTTGTCTTTAGTTAAAGACGTATATCTCCAATTCTAAATAATTCCTAAAACTCTTTATAGTCTTAAATAATTCGCCAAATTATTGACTTTTATTTTAGCTATGGATTACTTTCCGGGAGTTATTAGGGTTTGGGATATATGTCCTTAACTAAAGACAAATTTCAAAATAAATACATTTTAATGTTAAATTAAGAACCATGACTCATTTTAAAATTGTCAGATTTTGTTTAGTGATTAATAAAATCAAAGCTAAACACTCACTGAGTAATTTGAGACCAGAAAGAACTTGGTGACGTATTAACAACCCGAGTTATAAATCTTTTAATAAAAATATATTTCTAAAAAGTTAAATCTAATATTGTTCTGAGGTTCGTAGCTGGTCTTTAACTCGTCTGATTTTAATGATCAAGAGCTCAAATGAAAGCCCTTACATTACTGAATATTTTAAGCCTAGAACGAACTACAAGCGTCAATAAGAACTGTAGATATAAGAAAAATAGTTTTAAAAAAATTATCAAACTACGAAACGTCCATAAGAAATGTATGGTGGAGAGTTTTCGTTTGAATATATCTTCTAAATGAATAAAGATATTTAAAAACGGATTTCAGCATTGAAATCAGTGTAAAAATGTAGTTGGCAATGATGTGTCACAACACTATCATTACTTTGAAAACAAATTATCTATGTCCAATATGGCGGATCCAAGATGGCGGCCAAAAACATGTTCCCTATCAAAATGAAGTACTAACCACCCAATAAATACAGGCGGTAGTCCCAAGTCAATATCTCGAAAAATGTGCATAACAAATGCATGTGAAATATGTTTTTTTTAATTTGTCCAATGTTGGAAAAAGCCGCCATTTTAAATTCTGATTTTAGTGGTTTTATCGTGCACCGATTTTTTGCAACTTTTAGTATGTCATTCTGCAAACCCAACTCTACAAAATAAAACCATAAAAAGTTTTCTTGCAATTTTTTTAACGATCCCTATGTAAATTTGTTTAGTTTGCTTGGACTATAGTAGTAGTAGTAACTTTTTATATTAATAGTATATCAATTTATCCAGGCTCTCTCGCGTTTTTCCAATGTAATACTTACGCCAACCCAAATTCAAATAGTAAACATGTCATTTCAACCAAGTAAGTAAATGTTTGTAGCAAACTGATTTAGCAAACTTATTGACAGTTTACAATTAACATATGTTCTTGTTCTCACTTTTAATTTCTGACAACAGCTGGAGTTTCATAACAATGTTTGTTTCCCATGTTAATCTTATGGAGAAATACGAAACTTTAAAGGGTCCCAGGGCCTCACTCTCTAATTATTTCCCTAAAAAGAAAGTTTCCTGCACAACTTCACGTTACGCTCTTTCCAATGACACCAAAAACATGTCAATCGGTTCAGTAGTTTCAGAGGAGTAATTGTCACAAAAAACCTGCTTGCGTATAAAATAAGTATATAGATATAGATTTCATAAATATTTAGATCCCCACATGATATGCCTGAGTGGAGGTTCCATCTGAACAATGCAAAAAATTCATTCTAAATTGAATTCTTGACAAAAAACTACAGTTCCACTAGCAACGAATCCCAGCATTTCCTGAGTCAAAGTAAAGTTTTACAATGATGGACTATGCGAATGAACAAACATGAGATCATTCGCCTATTGGGTCTGATGTTGATTGGAGTGTCCAATCGAAATCGATCACCACTTGCCATCTTTTTTGTATACTTGCCGTATTGTGAGTAACCGTATAAGCGTAAATATATGTTTTAAGACGTTCCTTTTATTTACTTTCCGTTAAAAGCAAGAATCGAAGTTATTCAAAGTTATAAGTGATCGAGAAGTTATTGAGTTAAAAGCCCCAAATAGTCATATTAAATATACGACTACAGTAGATCTAATCTAGATCTAATTACATTAAACGTTTGATGCCACTGATTTTCTAGTCTGAAACTAATATTCTTTATAATAATAATGTCTTTATTTAGCAAGCGTTTTTCAGATACAATATTTCTGCTTTTCAAAACAACTCTTGTCCTTAATACTAATAAACTATTCATAAAAACTAACTATAAAACAATATATAAAAAATCTATGAAAACAATGTAAAACAATCCATACCAACAATCTATTAAACAATCTTAAAATATTAAAAAATCTATAACAAACATTACTTAAAATAACCAGAATCTGCAATGCTAGGACTAGACCAATTAACAATAAAAACATACATTTACTTTAGACAATTACTTTTAGCAAACAAATATTCCTTTAACCTTTTTTTAAAAGTGTTCAAAGAGTTGGCTCTTATTACTTGATTGGGGAGAGCATTATACATGGTAGGGCCGAAGTATGAGAAGGCGCCCCTCCCCACTTTGTGGAGGAGACACATTTTTTGGAATCCTTCGGTGATTACCTTTGCATGTAAATAGTTTATTTGGATTATATATTTATATCTAAAAAATAAAATATATGTATATATGTATGTATGTATATCTAGGTTTATTATTTATATCTGTCCAGAGCGCATCCGTGATGGAAGCTGCCTACAGTTGCCACTGGTACGATGGATCCGAGGAGGCGAAGACTTTCGTGCAGATTGTTTGTCAACAGTGTCAAAAATCATTGACTGTATCTGGAGCTAAGTTTTTCACAGTCTCTCTGGATTTGTTTGCCTCGGTAAGATATGGAAAAACAAGGTGTGAGGATAGAAAAGGGTGTGTTGATTTTGTGTTTATGGTGAGTCGGTGGCTCAGTTGGTAGCGTCACGGACTTTGGGCCCAAGGCAGAAGTGTCGTGGGTTCGGATCCTGGTCACTGCCACAAACTTTTATCAGTATAGTTCACCTTTGTACTGTACCGGCTCACCCCTTGCTTTGCTGGATACGTTCCACGCACAGATCTGTAGTCTATGTGGACGGGCAAATGCAAGGTTAAAAGAGGCCGCCAACCTCTTTTAATAAAAAAATAATAATAATTATTATTATGACTATTCTTTATCCTGTAGTCTTGTAAATAATGAGTATAAAACTAAAATACATCGCTAATAACATATAATTAATTTAAAGGTACAATATTAATATAATAACATACAAACATACAAATACAGGGTGTTTTTTGAAACGCAACCCAAATATTACAAGCTATGTAAGGCACTGTTTAACAACAAAACAATCTTATTTGTTGGTATCTTTGTTTCCCTTACTTCATTGCCGAGCAGCTGGTATTCTTTGTTGCATAGTCATCTATGAGGTTTAGTTATATTTGGAATTAAATTCAAATTCAGTAAATTAAATTCAACATGGGGTTTTATCAAACTGCAAAAGAGTATGAATTGTAGGTCTAAGTTATTTTGTGTATTACGTATAACTCTCAAAGCTTGTTAACCCCATGTTGAATATAATTTTCAGTACATTCCAAATGCCACTAAAACTCATAGATGCTATGCAACAATGTATTGGCAATGAAGTCAAGAAAATAGTTATACCAACATGTATGCTTGTTTTGTCGATGAACTTTCAGTACTTTTAATTTGAATTGCGTTATAAAAAAGTACCCAGTGAACAATAAATAAATCAAGAATAAAAAGTAAAAAATAGTATATGTATAATTTCAACATGCATTAAGGTAAGGAAAGGTGCTAACGGTGATAATAATGATAGTAACAAAAGGGAATGGAAGCAAAAGGGAAAGGGTAATGGTCATAGTAAGTAGCAAATAAACTCAAATCTCTATAATGTTTATTTTAAATTATAGCTGTTCTTGAGTTATATAGTATTATGAATACAAGAAAATTCACATTTTTTTATATTTCTAGATTGAATAACTTTTAATTTAATGATTCGTCAAGAGAAATACAACGTCGCAAACCCGAGGTAGCTATCTCACCCCTAGCCAAAAAGGCAGGTATTCCAAATTTTAGATTGGTGGAATGGGTGCTTTTTCACATAAATAAAATTTTAAAATACCTTCCATTTTGGCAACGGGCGAGATATCTACCTCGGGTTTAAGTCGTTGTATTTCTCTTCACTAAACCTTCAAAATGGTGGGTCATTCAATAGGGGTTGCTATTTTTAAAAAAATCATCCCCTACCCCCCGCCATGTTAGGGGGGCTAAAATATTTTTATGTAAATGATTGCGGACCTTTGTTAACAAGCAATGCCGTAAACAGAACATTTTTATACAGATTTGTTTCCATACTTAATGTACACACTGTATATATTTCTTCTCTAGCATTTTAAAGAGTTATTTATTTGGAACATTAACAAACCACGTGGGTTATGTGAATCCATTCAACCCAGGAATATGAACTACAACTGGGAACTAGAACTAGTAAATCAGGATCTGGAATTACAGATCAGGTGAAAGTTTGTAGCCCTTTGAGTTCTCTGACATTTCATTAATCAAATTTCTGTATCTAACTTACAACTTTATTCACCTCAATGCTCAATTAATTTTCCAAACCAATATAAAATACTGTATAAGATCACTACAAACCATCAATTTTTTTTGGTGATTTTGTATTAAATGTTAAACCAAATTAAAATCAAAACACGGAAACAGGAGTAGTAAAAAGGTCAACGCACTCTAGTTTGAACAAAAACTATTTGTCCATCAGACACAAATACATTATTAGTAAGTATTTATTTTATTTTATTTATTTTATTTTTATTACATTATTAGTAAGGTGGAGTATTGAACGAAAATCTGGGAAATTGAATTAGCTCGTGTCACTTCTGACATCATAGAGAACATTTTATAGGACTGTTACGTTTCAGGTTCTCGGAGCTGTGGTTACTTACTTCATGGTTTTGATCCAGCTCAAGTAAAGAAGTTCTGCAGCTCTTACAAGAGGAAGAGATCAATATTGTTGGATCAAACACTCAAGAAATTCTCATCGGCCGATGGTCTTGTTGATTTAAGATCGTTTCTTGTACTTTACATTCTAGTTTGAAAAGAAATATTTAGATTTATTTCACATTCATTTAAAACTGTATATTGTTCTCGGTGTTAGTTTGGTTTCGACTACCCAAATTCATAGTATAACTTTTTACGGTCATAATTTTTTATCTATTTTTTTTATTAAGTGCAATATTTTAATTACATTTTCCATTATTAGATTATCTCAAAAACTGCAGATTTCTCATCTCGCCTAACTCTTTCTTACATTCTTATTTTTGTTGACAAAAATAAATACATAACAGAAGTAGCACATGCTGTGGCTCTATTAACTATAGTATTTATACAAAATTGACTACAGCTGGTTCATATATATGGGATGTCTACTTCCGTATCCTAAAGTAGACATACCTTAAGTAGAGGGTGAGTCTGTGGCTCAGTCGGTAGCGCCAAGGGATTCGGGCCAAAGACAGCGATGTCGTTGGTTCAGATCCTGGTACCTGCCTGTACTTTTTATCAGTACAGCTCACCCCTTGCTTTTCTGGATGGGTTCCATACACAGGCTACAGTAATAGCCAAAATAAACAGTACTGAAAGTGAATCAGCTGTGTTCGCTTTGTAGATCAGCTCAGTCAATTATTGATTGTTGCCACGGCTTCGTGTTCATTACTTCTTTCTTATTTGAGGTTAATTTTTGCTTGCATGGTGCTAACAACGGTAGGGAAAACTTTTATCGTAAAGCATTATTTTCGCTTATACTGAATTGGTCGTGCGGGTGGGCCAAATTTGCCACACACTGCATTACGTTTTCAAAAACAATTCCACAAAAAGTAATTCTGTGATTCTTAGTGTTGTTGAAAATTTTCAAAGTGCAGGTAGTGAATAAATGGTAGTGAAAGAAAATATAACGATTGAGAGAATGAAACAACCCCTATTTACGAAATTGGTTCAAAACTTACAAAAACGGTACGACTGTGCTTCAAACTGAATGGGGGCCATATTGAACATGTTATCAACCGAGTTTAACAGATCCTTTGACAGTTCCTTTGACTTGATTGTGTAGGTAAAATGTATATGTAATGTTATTATATATACAATAATAAAATATTACCAGTTCAGTGCTTGTTTATTTTGGCTAATACTGTACAAGATTAAAGAGGCCGCTAACCTCTTCCATAAGAAAATACATCTCAGTTACCATCAGGACATTGTTTTAGTATAAGTGCTAATAAGTCCGCAAAAAAACGATACCGTAAAACTCAAATGTGTTTTTGACAATCTCAGTCATTATAGCCTATTTGTTGAATTGTCAGAGCATTCTTGATGGGTATATTAGAGCTAAATGTTGTGTATTAAACGTTGAGTTTTAATAAATCAAGGACAAGTCCTCACACGTTTTGCTAGTTCAGGCAAGACATGATTTTGCATAAAAGTTCAATTTTGATTATTAATTGTTGTAAACTTGTTATTGCATTCTCAACACGTTGTTTGTGCACTTATTTTAACTACGGTCGCTTACACGTTAAATTAGGATAGATTTATGAATTATTATACAAAAATACACTAATTTTTATCTTCAGTATGCATTGACTTATGTATACTGTAGTCAATATGTGAAAATATGTTAGACTAGAACGTACTACGTTTATATTACGTTTAGATAAGTTCTAATTAGACACGAGGCTCATCGAAAAAGTGCCTTATATTATTGTTAGTATGAATGTAGAAAAGTACGCTCAATGTATAAGTACAATTTTAAAAACTAATCACATTTGTGTTTAGAATAATGTATACTTTGTTACACCAGCACTTCTTTGGTTTTTTTTTACAGAAATTCAGAAATAGTGATTTAACTCGTACGAAAATATGAACAAGTATAATAGGTTGGTATGATAGTTTACTTGTTCGGTTATGTTGTTGATGGTAGTTCGGTTACTTGTTTTCTTACTGTCAATGAGTATAATTAAGCAAATTGAAGTAAATTATGAATTTGTATTAGGAAGCTGTTTGTGACTGTATTAATGTGAGTTAGGTTAGGGGAAATGATGTATAAAAATATATTTATAGCTGGAGATATTTTAAATATAATAAGTATATGCATAGTATTTTATGAAATTATATTCCGTAACCTTTGAATGATAAATTCCTAAGTCAATATATTATTTTGGGAACAAGCTGATCTAGTGGTAGAACACGAGGTACAAGGTTCAAATCCCGCCGATCACAGATGGATTTTATCCATGTGATAATGCCGCAACCCTCTAGAACTACTGTAGCCTGAAATAATGTGTAAAGCAGTGCCAGGCTAGAACCTAGCGTCCTGGGATGTGAAGGTGGGACATATATAAATATATATATACAGGATGTCCTGTAAGTAAACAGCCAGTCTCCGGAAATGGATATCTATGGGTCAAGAGAAAATAGAAAATGAAGTATAACATTAACACATATTCCAAAATTGCTTCGTTAACCAGATATCCTCCATTTTGTATTTTTTACATAAACATGTTTATCTTTGGATTGTCTGAACTGATCTTTATGAAACTTAGTATTTATAGAGTAAGGTATAAGGTAGCTATGTTAGAAAAGACATTAACTTGGTCAAATTCAAAAATTTGAAAATGGTGGGTAATTTTTTTTAAGTTTGATAATTACTGAATAATGGCTGATTTCATTTAACCATTTAAAATTCCTTATAAAACACACCAAGCTAAAAAATGCCTCAAACGAAATAGCTTAAGTATCACGATTTTTAGTTCTAATATTAGTTATAATACGAGAAATCTAGTCAGATAGCACCTAATATTGATTTAAAATTTTTTAATTAAAATATTATTTAGATTATAAAATCTGTAAATAAATGCCAGAGAGTGAATTCTGAGATAAATGTATACTATTCGTTATGGTAGTTCGTGAATACGGATGTTCAATTCAATTTAAAAATCTTGATCAATGTTTTGCATGATAATTTATTTTTATTTACATAGGCCTAATGTTATATCAACGGGTAAATATGCTATGTATTTTCTTTTTATTTATAAGTGAACAATTAATATTTTTCCAAAAACGTATTTTTATAAGGAAGAATTTGAAATAATTATAATTATCGATAGTGTATCTCCATGGCTTACATGCATTTCATGTCAAGGAGAAATATATTTATTTTATTTCCTCAAACACTCTAAAATCGTAAAACTTTTACTAAAACAATAACGAAGCGATCCAAGATCAAACAATAATTATTCATACCTTACGATGGTATAAAGGAAGATTTAAGAGGAAATTATTTTGTTGAATGCTTGCAAATATTTATTGGCAAATAAATATTGATTTTGTAAAAGCTAATTTCTTTACCTTACCCGTAATTGTTTTTACTTATGAAAAGCCATAACTCCAACAACAGTAGTATTTAGTTATGGACGACAGTTTTAGAAACCTCTATAGAACTTATTCTGCTCTATATCTGTACAGAAAAACAACACCAACATTAATTTTAATACAAGTCTTTTCTTCATAATAGTCCAAACATTTATTTATTTGGATCAGCATCCCTATTGAATTAAATCTGAATCTAATCAACAATGTGTAAATTATTCATTTTGCACGTTAAAATTATTAAAATGTATAAATTAAGTTTCCATGGAGTTTAATGAAATGAATTGTCAATATTAACTGAACACGATTTTTCTTTAGTTTTTGGATGAGTTACGTTAGAGTGCCTCGTGCTTTTGAAGTATAAAGGGCCCAAACCCAAATTTAATAAGTGTATGAAAAGCAAGGGTGAGGCTTACTGTGACTGGGTTTAACTGAATTATTTACTTTGTACAGATTCAGAATTCTCAATAGAAGTTTATATTTTGTCATATTAGTCATATAAAAAATGCAAATCGTAAACGAAGTACTACATTGTTTAATTCTCCTAATGTTCAGCCAACACTTATTACTGTATGTACTATAATTACTAAGCCTATAGTATTTTTACAACATAAATACTTACTTACTCATAATTTAATTCAATATTCTATTAAATGGACAAAGACAACTTAACAAGTAGAGTTAAACCTAATTTGACATATATTCCCGGCCTGACAACTTTGGAACTTTGTATACAACTATGTATTTTATGGTGATTCTTTATGTATTTCGACATTAACTGATTAACATTTTTTCTAATATTAGGTAGTCTAACCAACCCCGAGTATTATAATTTATATTACATTAGCAACTATAAGCTAAAGTAGTTAGGTTAATAAAGTACGTAATATTTCTTCATTAAATAACACCGAAGAGTTTTGAAGTTTTCACACTTTTTGCCGTGGAATTAAAGATTTATAATTATTTCATATATAAATTCAATTCATTTCATTTTATTTATTGCCTTCCGGATTATTTCACAATTGATTAACTGGACAGAACGGCAATAGTCGCTTGTTAATTATCAATTAACTGTAATGGTATTCACAGTTAAAACTATGAATATTAACCAGACACATAGTTAAGCAACTTCTTTGTTTATTATGTTAAAAAAATTCCCTTAGTAATAAATTGCTTAAAGACATGTTTCAATAATAACTTGTATAGTAACGTATTTACTACCAAACAATGTAACGCCAAATACAGGATATGTTACTTTGACAAAGCAAATAAAATATACTGAATGTCAAAAGGGGAAGGCCCCATGGCTATTTGTCCTGTTTCGCTGCCTTTTTACAAAAGTCTACAAAGAAGTTCAAAGCGTTCGCTGCTAAATTAAATTAAACATATTTCATGTTGCACTGAGGTACTTTTTATTTTATTTTGTTACATTTCAGTGCTGTTTTCCTTGCTTAAGGTCTCTACTTTATATATTTTTATATACACATTGGAAAGTTATTCTTAGCTTTAAAATTGATTAGCCTAATATATAGATAAACCCTTGTACCTTGGTTGTTTCCAGTATTTTATCCCTGTTTCTAGTATACAAAACAGCAAAGCTAGTGTGCTTTTTCATTTACTAGTACATTTCCTCACTTTAAAAAAAATCTTCATCCGAAGAATCTTCGTCGGTCTGTTTTGGTGAAGACTACATGCAATACCCCCGTCCCCAAAATGTTTTTAAATCCTTTACAAAATGTATTACGTAAAATTACTACAACATGACACCGTTGGTTCAGGCCCCAAAATTACATAATCGATTCAGGCCTCAAAATGGCACCGTCGGTCCAGGCCCCAAAATGGTAACGTCAGTCAGGCAACAAAATGACACAGTCGGTTCAGGCCCCAAAATGGCACCGTCGGTCCAGGCCTCAAAATGGTACCGTCAGTCAGGCAACAAAATGACACGGTCGGTTCAGGACCCAAAATGGTACCTTTAGTCAGGCAACAAAATGACACAGTCGGTTCAGGCCCCAAAATGGCACCATCGGTCCAGGCCCCAAAATGGTACCGTCAGTAAGGCAACAAAATGACACAGTCGGTTCAGGCAACAAAATGACACAGTCGGTTCGGGCAACAAAATGACACAGTCGGTTCAGGCCCCAAAATGGCACAGTCGGTCAGGCTCCAAATCAGTTTCGTTTAGGATAACTGTGACTTGTAACAAGAGCTTTTATTTTTATTGAACGAGAACGAATGGGTTCAACGTGAGTATTCTGGATTATAACGTACAAACGAGATTCTTGCGTAATGATTAATTTTCCAAATACTCGTAGTAATGAAATAATCAAGTCATTAGTTATTGAAGAAAAGATATTTTGACTTTATAGAATCACGATATACGCGGAAATAATGTGTTTTAAATATAGGTATAATCCTTTAAAATGCATACCCTTTAGGTATGTATTTCCAAAATAATTTAATTACTAATACATATTCTTTGGTATTAAAAATGTGGGTAATAGTCTCATTTTGCAAATAAACTAAAAAATAGCGTCCACAGTAATAATATATCTTTATTTTATAAAAATATAATAAAGATTGAATACATTATCAAATATAATAAGCCTACATTTATACATTTTTACATCATTCGACTATATAGGCTATCAGACTTAACAAAGCTTGTTCAACATTATTAAGCAGCAGCGTTGTTTAATGTTTTTACTATCCTAAACTAAAACATGTGTTTGTATCATGGCATTGCTGAAAAAAACACAAATTTTGTGTTCGTTTCTATATTTGTTTAGTGACAGGTAACATTTAAGCAGCTGCTTTTTGCAGTTGAATACTTTAAATAATGAAACTATTGTGATACAAATTATTTAATGAATTTTTTATTCATATCAAATGTCAGTATCATCTACCATATAATTTAAAAGTAGTTCAGTTTAACATTGGCTTGGTTTAAAAATATGTATAAATTATGTGGACACTATAAAAACATCATAATCAATTTCGCTTAGAGATGAAATACAAATGTGTTGATGTAGGGTTTTCAAATGGACCCATTAATTTGATCATTGATTATCATATTTGCCTCGAAATTTATGATTCACAGTTGTTATTTAATTAGGAATTAAAAAATAAATTCGAATACAAAACATAATATAGTTGAATACATTTAAGGTTACATCCATGAAACGGAATACATACAGGCACTCAGTTATTTTATAATTGCAAATATATTTAATGGATTCTTTTACACATTAAAATATTTAATTATAGGTATACTCTAATAAGTAATAATGGTTTATATATCTATAGCATACCAAATTTTGTTCTATTTTACCATCAAATTAGTCCTCCAAGCTACAAATGTAAAATTCAAATGCTCCCGAATCGGTATACACTGTACAAAAATAAATAACATTTGCGATTGACTGCAATTTTAACGTCTATTTACCTAGATAAAAATAAGCTTTTGTGATATTTATGACTGCGTTTGTTGTCAAAACTTAAACCGAAAACTGTTACCAACTATGTAAATAACTACACTGTTACATCGGAGTTTTGAAAGCAACACAAACAATTACGACTACCGCGAGACACTTTTTTACAACAAAACTAGCTCATATGATGGTTTTTACTTCATTGGAAAAGCTAATATACATCGATCAAGTTATCAATGAGGTTTAGTGTTATTGATAATTTATTGTAAATAAGACATAATATGGTTATTTTTGCATGCTTAAACAGAGCTTGCGAAATTGCCAAGTTGAGACTTATTCACAATAAATTTCCAATAACACTAAAATTCATATACAGGGTAGGAAAAAGTGCCGGTAGAGTTAAATATTTAAACAAATAATAATGATAGAGCCTCAAAACTTGGTAACTACACAGTTACTGGACATTAAAAGCATTTTAACACATTATTCAGTGATACACTACCTCCTCAGGGGGATGGCCCACAAGGAGTTGGAATAAAATCTTAAATGCATTTAATGTTCATAAAGTTAAAGGCCTATACTAGTAAAATACAGTGCCAGAAATTTGAACTCAATTGGACAATCGAGTCAAAAATGGGAGCCGTTCAAAGATTTCTTGAATCTGCCATTTTGAATATTTTAACGGCTGCAATTTTTTACTCAGTTGTTCTTTTGAGCTCAAATTTGCAGCATTGTGTACTACTAATAAAGACCTTTAATTTGATATAAATATCGACCGATGCATACGTTTATGATTTTCTTCTGACTTCTAGCGGGCGCTGATGAAGTAGTGCATTGCAGATTCAATGAATCATGGAACATCTGTTATTTTTGACTCGATTGTCAATTTGAGTTCTGGTTTGCAGCATTGTATTAAGACCTTTAATTAGGACCTTTAATTTGATGTGCATATTTACCTATGCCGGCATTTAAGATTTTCTTCTGACTCCCAGCGAGCCGTCTCCCTGAAGAGGTTTTACACCACCGAATAATGTGTTAAGATTGTTCTAATGCCCAGTTACTGTGTACCAAGTTTTGAAGCTATACTGTATACTACTTTTTGAAATAGCCGTCCTTGGACTTTTTTCACCTTGAATAACTATGCAACAATGCATATCAACTGATTGGCAATTAAATAAGGAATACAGGGATACCAAAATGTGAGCTTGTTTTGTCGTTAACAGTGTATTATGGTACTTATAATTTGGGTTGCGGTAAAAAATCACCTTGTATTAATTGTATCTTAGACAAATGTTTTATATTTTTCATATCATTTCAAGTCTTTCCAGGCAACTCATGTCTTAGTATTTGTTTAGAAATTTCAAATCTGAGGTAAACCTACACAGATTTACTTTACGAATGACTTGAGAATATTTTTCTTTACAAAATATACCTCTTCTACCTTGAGGTCTATTAAGTTATATTACTAAAATATGTTTTTAAATTATAAAACAAATAAAGGTAAAATCGGTTAAAGTTTTGTACAGCTCAGAAGATGAGTTAAGTTCTAGTAAAGTCACTGAATAAGCATATACGTCCTACATACTTACTTACTTTGCTAATTGTTCCATCCTTTGAAGTTAATTACATGTTTCATTTGTCCATTAAGTGATCAAGCATTTTAGACGAAAGGTTCATTTTTAACCTACGTATGGGAGAGAATGCGGTAGCGGTCAATTCAACGTAATTAAGTTATCAGTGGAATCATTCATCTCTTGGAGTTTGTTATCTTCTGAAAATGTCTATAAAATACACACAAACTAAATGTTGTAATCAACCAAGCTTAATACCGAGTATTACTTTAAACATACTTAACTTTAAACTTAACTTAAACTTTAAACTATAACTTACTATAACTTTAAATTACAAAATGTTCTGTTGCCTTTAAATCATTTTATGTTTCATTCTAATAAAGCTCTACTGAAGTTTAACAGGAAATTATGCCTGTATTCTTTGTAATGTAGATCGAAGAAGTGAAAATAAAATAGTCTAATATTGCACTTTATTTTGAGAATTAATCATCGTGTCTATTTTTTTCATTCACGCTCAAGTAATTATTTTTACCACAGGTTATTTCAAAAATACGTCTCTACTATTCCTCATAAAATAGAACATTTGTAGCCTCCAAGAGGGTCACCGAAGACGGACGGACAGGCTTGGGAGACGTGACTGTGGTTGGCCTCGTGTTGCCTCACGGCCTCCAGGAGTTGTCTGAAGACTTGCCGGACCAGGGTGTCGTAGCGAGCACTACACTCGGCGTAGCCACACCCCCACAGACCAACACGGTCCATCAGCAGCCGACGTCGCTCCAGACAGGCGTCGTCCTCGGTGTCAAAAAGATCAATCTTGTTGGCGACAACCAGCGCCGGGATATCACTCAGCTCCCTGCTTTCCTGGATCTGCTCACGGACGGTCTCCAGGTATCGGATCGTCTCCAGGTCCGAGAGATCTAGAACTAGCATGTATACTGTGGCGTCTCTTACTGGGCAATCTGCAAGCTCGTACACAGAGTCTACGGGAATGTACGGCACCGCAGGCAAGTCTGTGATCTTGAGCTCGTACACTCGTCCGTTGACGATCACTGTGGGGTAGTAGGTATGACGACAGCTGGTCGGCCAGTACTCCTCCTTGAAACTGTTCCACACGAATTGCTGAAACATTTCAACAACACCTCTAATTGAAACTATTCCACATTACTTGCTACAACATTATACTGAAACAACAGATTTGACAGAAGACAAATTCATACATAAGATTGTGTTTATTTCCACAAAACACGAATTATAAGTATACGTAAATCAAATAGCAGGAAATGTAGACCACCACTTGAAAAAAACTCATTGATGTGGGATTTTAATTTCATGGAAAACGTAAATAAATACTCAAATAATGATGATAATAATAATAAAAATCATAAATAATAGAAATATTAAAAAATAAAAGAAATGATAAAATAATAATAGTAGAAATAATAATGAGTCATGTAGACTCATTCTTTCAATATATGTCATATGTTAAACCAAATTGGCAATGAAATAATGATTTGAAGCTGATTCAGCCCCAGTTTTGGAATATAATACGTATTGGCCAAATTTTTGTCAATACAGCATTATTGATCTCCTTTTCTCTACTTCATACGCTCAAATTTAGAATGTCTATTTAGATTGGAAACCCATCAACTTGTCAAGCAGAATGTTGCTAATGTATGGAAAAATACAATAGAGTTAAGCCAGTTTGTTTTGAAACTGAGATTTACTTTGCTAAATTCATCACAAAGTTTAAGGGTTTCTATTTCGAATTAGAGAGGTGAATTTAATATGAAAATAATTGCAAGGGTGTAATATTCGTTAAGGTTTATTCATTTATAATTATATCAGTCAATCTATGTTTTTTAACAGCATCTATGTTGTTAGGTTACGTCTATCTTAATTGTGTCGCATACAGTTGAATACATCAGAATAATGCTATTCTTTGAGTTCACTAAAAAAAAGTTATTTTCTAAAAGGGTCTGCATGTGTGGTTTGATTTCCTTCATATCTTAAATGAAAAATACCAACTTTAAAAATATACATGACTGCAAAACTGCAAAACCAACAGACAGATTCTCTGTAGCAACGAAAAATCTGATGTTTTCAATGTCCTTTTCATATCACTCATTTCAGAGAATATATATGTATGAGCCCTTATTTTTTATTATATTTATTTAAAAGCCACAAAAGTCACGAAGAATTAAACCTAGACATTATCTGCTAAACATGAACCAAACTTAACAACATTTGAAAATTAACAGGTTTAATAACTACGTTTAATAATAATTGTTATCCATAAAGAACCACTATTATTAACATTTGTTTGAAAAGGTCCTAACTGCTAACCTCTGCTCTTCTACAGCATTAGAACAAACTCCTGAAGCATTAGATAGATTGATTATAGATTGATTACTAAAGTTCCGATAGTTGTTTTGGGATTGTTGATAAAGGCTTTTAGGATAGCTATGCCCTATTAAACTCATTCCTCGCTTAGGTTAACTATCTCTTACATATTTATGCAATGCTCAAGCAAAGAGTGCAATAAGTATCTCAAAGTCCATAATACTATTTGTATTCTTTAACATTTATAAATATAGTAAAAAGATTAATTTTTAAAATAAAAAATCGAAAAATTATAACCAAACTTTGTTAAGAAACTATCATCTAAAATTATTGATTCCCCTGCGTGCATCACCATTATTGGTACATTAGTTATATAGTGGTTATACTGTACTCTATAACACTGACTACTTAACTCAAAGGCGTTTCACCAAACAATGTTAACTTATTTATATCTATCCAACTCCTAAGATCTTTCTTGGACGGATTAGGAACTAGATAGTGAATTCTGATATTCAAGAATATTCGTAAGCAATTAAAATATAAGATTTCTTGGTGCAGTAACTTGAAGAGTTATTTTATTTTAACGAAGCTCAAGATCGTGTTAAAACTTGTAACGCGACCTTAAGTACCACTTGCAAGCCATGCACACTCAGCTTTATGTAATCCATTGCTGAACTCAGTACATTTACACTGTCTCGTCTGCAGGGCTATGAAAATTACGTTAGTACTTCGATCTCTAATGCATGGCTAAGTGTGGCTACAATTGATTTTGAAGATTTAAGTGATCAGCCATACAAACAATTTGAAGCACTAACTACAATTGTTCTATAGCAAGGATAAGATTGCATTAATTGATGTTAAAATCAGAGAAGTTTGCTCCTATGATTAAGAATGAAACCTATTCATTCATCTTGCATTTTTACTCTCTCATAAAGCTGATTATCTTGGGAGCCTGATACTTTCTCTAATGACATAATATATATTATATATTTTTGTAGCTTTACTACACTGATATGTAAGACAATCAATATAACAACAACTGATCAATTCTACATAAAATCCAGATACTTGAACTTAAAATGACCACATTTGTGCTAGAAGGAATGTATTTAAATCAGCCGATTCTACCCAGCACCAGAACCAACAGTGTTTTTTTTACTATAGTTCGGCCGCTTAGAAAGCGACCTCCTCCAGCATTGGTTTAGCATTAGCGCGCAGGTCGTTTTCTAAGCGGCCGAACTATAGTTGTACTGTAAAGGGCGAGAAAAGTTTGTAAAACGAGCATGGATCGAAAACCCGCTTTTCAGTGTGGTTTTCACCTACATATTATAAATAATTAGAATTTTTAATTGGCTTTCCATCAAACATTTCTTTCTAACATGGCTTCCATAATACAGTATATACTGTATTTCAAACAATCAGCTGTTGCAGAAATAAATGTGTAACGAATATCTGTAAAAGTTAGGTTTGTCCAGCCAGTCATCACATTGGTTAACTTAATTGTATAGACTGTCATATTGAACGCATCGATCTCTATTATTACAACACTGTATATAATTCGAGTTTTTTTTTTTCAAATGTAGCTTAAAGTTTTTGTTGTGTGAGTTGCACTGTATTAATCTTTTGTGCTTGATTGCAACGATTATTTTTATCAAACAATATGACTAAATATATATTAGCAGTTGATTACATTTCTTGGCACAATCGATTTAGCAACATTTTTTAACAGTTACTGTATATTTACAACAAATAATGGAAGTAGTGGACACGCCCAATACTATTTTCGTCATAGGACATCATAATATGGCCATAACGTGCTAGCAGTTTAATGTACAGGGTGAATAAAAAGTCAAGACCCCCCCCTCTAATATTTTCCCAAGTAAATATACAGAGATATCCTTTTGGTGGTCGAGCAATCTTAGCAGGAAGTTTCATTTTATCATTTTGAAATTTTTGAGTGTCCCCCCAAAAGGGGGGATTTGGGGGGCAACTCAAATATTTTAAAAGTAAACCCCCTTCAAGTGACACCTCATTTTGAAGTGTTAACAAAAACTTAAAGAATGGTGAAAACTAGAGGTCGCTATCTCTTCTCTATCCAAAATGGTAACCCGTCAAATGTTGTGGAAATTCAACGGTAAAATTGTTAATATTGACTGCCATTTTGGATAGAGAAGAGATAGCGAGCTCTGGTTTTCACCATTCTTTAAGTTTTTGTAAACACTTCAAAATGAGGTTTCGCTTGATAGGGGTTTCTACTGAAACATTTTTAGTTGTCCCCCGAATCCCCCCTTTTGGGGGACACTCAAAATTTTTAATTGTAATTCCCCTTCAAGTGACACCTCATTTTGAAGTGTTTACAAAAACTTAAAGAATGGTGAAAACCAGAGCTCGCTATCTCTTCTCTATCCAAAATGGCAGTCAATATTAACAATTTTACCGTTGAATTTCCACAACATTTGACGGGTTACCATTTTGGATAGAGAAGAGATAGCGACCTCTAGTTTTCACCATTCTTTAAGTTTTTGTTAACACTTCAAAATGAGGTGTCACTTGAAGGGGGTTTACTTTTAAAATATTTGAGTTGCCCCCCAAATCCCCCCTTTTGGGGGGACACTCAAAAATTTCAAAATGATAAAATGAAACTTCCTGCTAAGATTGCTCGACCACCAAAAGGATATCTCTGTATATTTACTTGGGAAAATATTAGAGGGGGGGGGGGTCTTGACTTTTTATTCACCCTGTATAATTTACACAGTAAACCTACAATAAATAATATCAATGTTTAATCAATACTAAATTATCATACTAATTTACTTCACCGACTTTAACTAAGAACATATGTTTTATTATACGGTGTCCGGTCATAAGTGTTAAATAAAATTTTGCATTAAACTACATGGTAATGGTGACAGAATGTCGCAAATTTGAGGTTCCCAACTTCAATAGTTAGAGGATAAAAAATAAATTAAGATTTTTCAAAAATTATTGTAGTTGTTATGAAAAAGGTTATTTTACTCTGTTAAAAATGCACTTACTGTCAATTTCAATGTCATTTTCAGAATCCTCACAAAATTTTAAATAGATATAACACATAATCGTTAGGGTACGGAAAAATATTCTATTTAAAATTCTTTGTTAAACAAATTATTTTTATATCGACGAAAATGTAAATAACATTCAGCAATTTATTTCTCGGTTGTTAAGTTCCGGCGAGGTTATCAAATATGACTAAAAACTTCCTTATTTAAAGGGCTTTACAATGATGTATAACAACATTTACCTACTGTCAAATCCATGGTGAATTTTACGCACTATTGTGAAAAATCACGGTCAAGCCAAAACAGATATTGTAAAAAATAATAAACTTTTACTTACTATTTTATGAGCTGACCACTGATGATGAGGGTGTGTATAATTTATGATTGACCAGACTACACTTGCATCAAACTAAAGAGTTTTTTAAGACTTTGGAAAATTTGTAATTAAAAAACACAACACATTAGTAAAAAACACAATACACACTTTAATTTAAATATGAAAGGATAGTTAACACATTAAACAAATCAATGACATACTTTGTCCGAAGCACAAATCACAGTTTGGGTGTAAAGTGCCCACCGTTTTCCCGCAAGCAGGCCCTAGCTCTTTTGCGGATTGCGCCAACTGTGACCTCATACGTCAATTTTTCCCTTACTTTCCCAGCAGCCTCAAAGATTCTCTCCCGTAACTCAACTTCAGAGTTTACAACAGTTGAGTAAACTAGACTTTTCATGTAACCC